CCACCAACAATGCAGGGACCATCCTTCAAATTGAAATGTGAGACACACAGAAAGAAGCTGAGTTTTACCCTTGGGCAAGAAGACATATAGTGGCCCATGTGACAGATAAGTGTCTTCAAAGGCAATCCAGAGGGGAAGAAGAGGACCAAGACCCAAACACCAGTGAGCTTCCTACTGCCCACAGGTCTAAGCCTGGTTTACACACAGACTTGGCTTCCTACAACTTTGATCAACTAGTAGTGGACTAGAGAGAACTGGAGACATCTGAGGTCCGTCCAGTGACACTGGCTGCTCCAGGGTGGTTAGAAAACACGTGCTTGTGGTACAGGCAGGGAGACTGACCTAGCCGCTGGAGTCTGGGGGGCGGGGGATGCTCAGGAAATCTACATCCCTGCATTTCCTCCCCACCCCCGCTGAAATCCCAGGAAAATCAAACGAGAGAGAAAAGTATTTTTGCCTTTGATGTATAAATGAGAAAAGAGGGAGAAATAACACTAGACACATATTGTGGGGTAAGGAGAAGACAACTATGAAATACATACTTCTCAGATGAGGGGGCTAAAGATCAGGAGATTAACTGGAGTGATCAGAAAGCTGGATTCTGTGAGGAGGGGGTGAGTGCATCTAACGTGCTCAAGGTTCTGGGCTCAATCCCCAACACTACCAAAAAAGAAAAGTCAGCTGGACCTTCCCACATCCCTCAACCACATGGAGAAGTTAAGTGACTGTCCTTCTCCATCTTCAGGTCAAGTTTGGACAAACAGCACGAAAGGGTTCTGAGCCTTGACATTCAGCTTCGTCTCTGCTGTGGCAACCAGGCACTCCTTCAGCCTCTAGAGGACCCAAAGAGCCCTCTCAGGTCACTCTCCCCAGACCAGCAATGATATCGGAGATCACCCTGATCTCTGACCACATGAACAACACAACAGCCCAAGGCCAGAGAGTTACCAGAAAAACACCACCTTGGACACATGCGCCGTATATCCTTCCCATCTCCAGGAAAACTTAAATGTCACACCCACCCACCAAAAAGAACTAGAAAAGTCCCGGTCACCTCACCCACAAGCTTTGCACCTGGCCCAGCCCAGCCTTCCTTGGGAGGCCCAGGTGAATCAGCCGAAGATGAAGCTAAGGTCAACAAGCACATCTACAGCTTCGGCTTGTTAAGGGCCTCCCCTCAAGTTGCGAGCCGGTAACCCAGGGCAACCAGACCAGAAGGAACACCTCCAGCACACTGCCTGTTTTCACTACACTTCTGCAAACCAATAGGGTGTGGCTGGGCACCCTTCTAGCCAAAAAAAGCCAATCGGTTCCCCAGAGAGATAAGACCCTGGAAGCGAAAGATAAAAAGAAGTATACACACACACACACACACACACACACACACACACACACACACACACCTACTGGAAGAACAAAAAAGAGAGAGAGAGAGAAAGCTTTTAAATTAAAAATGCTAAAAGCATTATTAGAACCAGATGTGGTGACACACCTGTAATTCCAGCACTTGTGAGGTTAAAGCAGGAGGGAGCGGGCTTTGAGCCAGCCTAGGCCGGCATAAACTCCACAGCAAGTGAATTCTAGGCTGGCATGAACTCCACAGCAAGTGAATTCTAGGCTGGCATGAACTCCACAGCAAGTGAATTCTAGGCTGG